GTTTGTTTTAAAAGATTTGCAAAACCAAGTTATCTACTCTTCTCCTTGCAGGAATGACCCAAAATCTTCCACACCAAGTGGGGTTGTGGTCACCATGAAAGTAAAAGTGACTTTAAAGTGAGCAAACATATGCAGTTGTACAACTGCCCAAGTTAAGGATGCCACACCATGGATGGTCCACACCATAGATGACACTTGTGGAATGCCAGTCTGACTTGACCTGGAACCCAGGGAGTTTTAATGGGTGCTACCACCAGGCCCAAGGGAGTTGTTACTGAGACTCCCTTGCCAGTGCCACCAGGAACAAGGTGCCCCTCCTTGTTCCTCTTCCTGAAGATCCAGGAGTGTCTCCACTGGCTTTTTACATCAGGAGCAGCAGAGTGGTGGGGACTCCTGAGAGTCTGTGCAATCCTTTCAGGGCATCCACAAGGTCCAAACCACATCTGTAATGACAGCACATACTTCTGCTCTTTGCACTTTCAATCTCTCAAGAGTGCGCTGTGGACTCTCCCAGCACAAGCAATGCTGAGCATCTAGTCATCTTCTATCCAGCCAGGTACTTCGGAGACACTTGCAGGCAGAGCGCCATGGTGCCCAGATGAGCTACAAAGCAGTGTTCAGGAGGAAGGGAGGGTGTGTGGACCTGGGGAGTTTGAGTGGAATCAGTTTTCAGATCCACACATACCGATGCCCCACATCCATCAGCCAGAGAAAACAAGCGGTATCTCCGCCCCAGCCCCATCTCACGTGTCCCTCCTTCTCCCACTTGCCATCCAGCTGCCTGAAACACCCACAGCTCTTCGGGCAACCAATAAAAAGACCCTTCAACAATTTTCTTAACTTCATGCCCATTGGATGGCGTATTTCCAATGAAGTTTGTATTCTCTGAAAAAAGCATTAAGATTTGAGATAATCACATTGTTTGCTGAACTGTATTTTAGCAAATATGTACAGAAACATGTATATGTATTGATAAAGAGAAAGAGAGACACAAAAAGACACACACACACGCACACACACACACACACAAAGAGAGAGAGAAAATGCAGGTAAGCAGACGGCAGGGAGTGACAGTCTCCTCAGCACACGTCTGTGAATTTTCCTCGGATAAAGTTTGGGGGAGGAAGTGGAACAAAAGTACAAGTTCAAGGCAAACTGGGAATGCTGTCAAATTCCCAGTTGCTAAAAAAGAGCTGTGTTTTTAAAGTACAACACGGTTACTGTGAAATCGCCATTCCATTTCATCAGACAGAGAGACAGAAAGAGAGAAATCACCCCCGAGGGAGGATGGCCTTGCCACCAAGCCTTCTTTTTCATTCTTCTCTCGGGATCTTGGGCAGGCATGCACAAGCCACCAGGTCCAGGATTTGAACTGCAGTTGACTACGTGAGAGCCCAGCGATGTAACCATTATGCCATCTGCTGGTCTCCATACTAGTCAACTTTTAAGTAATAGACCAGGCGACTATGATTTTTTTTTTTTTTTTTTGCCACAAGGTGCCTGTACTCACTGAAGACAGAGAGAGGTAAAGTGAGAAATCATACCTTTGAGATTTGGCTGTGCCATAATTTCTTCTCCTCTGTTCTCTTAGGATCTTGGGCATTTGCACATGCACATGTGCCCAGTGTGATTTTTCAAGCTGCCAAGTCTGGGGTTCAAACCATGATTGGCCACGTGAGATTCCAGCCCTTAGCCACAACACCAGCTGCTAGCCCCCAGGTTACTCAAATTTTCCTGTTGGGATACAGCTGTATGGGTTGGATCGAGGGTAGACCTGTGTTCATCTCATATCCTTTTATACCATGGAGAATTGCACTGGGAGATCCATCAGTCTAGACAGGTCTCTAAGGGTGGACTATCTTTATTATTATAACTGCCTCTTTGGCTTTAGCTGCAGTCCTCTTGGTTTGCTACTTTCTTTCTTGAACTTCACCTTTGCTCATGAAAGAAGTAAATTAAAAACTTTAAAAATGATGTAACTGTCATTTTGTAAAATTTTAAAATTAAAAACTAATACTATATTTTTTCATGATAGAATGTGTGGAAAATATACAGTTGTGGAAGGAAGATCAAGTGATTCTGAGATGCACAGAATAGAATCATATGCATGTGTGTATATATGCACATGTGTAAATATATATACGTATATAAATGTTTATTGCTAGTATATGTGTATATATACACACATATGTATATATGTATATTGTATATATATTAGGTACAATAATAAATAATCCCTATTTTCCTGTGTTTAAACATTTCCTCCTAACATTCAAAAAAAATGATTTTGCCAGAGGACATGCACACTTGCTGTGAGAAACAGAGAGACAGAAAGAGAGAGAGGAAAAGTGAGAAGGCACCCCTCCTCCCCTAGGGGAGGGCCACATCCTTTTTCCTCCTACCCTGTCAGAATTTTGGGCTTGCACATACACTTACCTGGCATGTTCTTCAAGCCCCAGGGGCTGGGATCCTCGCAGTGTGGTTGGCCATGTAGGATCTGGTTGCCTTAACTACCAGGCACAGAACTAGCGACATATTCCACTTCAACAGCACATTTTTTGTTGTTATTGAGATTATTAATCCTACTTTTGTTCTTCAAATGAAAGAACATGCAAGAACAATCAAGCATGCTTGTTACTTGTATTTTAATATTTCATGGCTTAAAAATATTAAGTCACTTTCAGCAATGTGAAGGCATTTTATTAATACATAAAGCTTAGAAATGCAGAATGTAGGACTTTTAAAAGATGGTGCAAGTGCACTTGGTTTCTGAATGCCTGCAGGGGATGCTCTGACTGGAAGGCAGTACTGATCACCTTCATGCCAAAGCTCCAGTCTGAGGATGGAGTTGGAGGACTATAGATGTCAGCTTTTATCATTGAAATGTTTTCTAAGAAGAAATAATGGAAGATAAACTATATATACTTTTTTTCTCATTGCTCTTTGAAAATATGAGTGCACTCATAATGAAATCTTCCTCTTGGAGACCAGCAAGTGGCATGGTGGTTGAGGTGCTGGACATTTTCACAAGGCTGACCATGATTCGTGTCCCGGATATGGCAGCTTGCTTTCTCACTTTCCCTCTTTCTCTCTGTGTGTCCCTCTTTGGTCAAATTGAAAAGTAATATGATGAATAAATAAAATTTTAAAATAAATAATTCTAAAAAAGAGAGAAATCTTTCTCTATTCTTAGGCACTGTCAACAAACAATGTTGGGAGTGACTTATTCTGTCGCATCGTTTGCTTATTGTGTGTGAAGACCAGGATGGTTGTTTACATGTAGAAGTGTGAGTTAATCTCTTCAAACATTTTCTCTTTTTTAAAATGAAATAATTATTTAATTTTATTTATTATTATTACTTTTTAATTTTCTATAGGGGATATGCAAATGAGTGCATGTGCAAGAGAGAGAGAGAGAGAGAGAGAGAGAGAGAGAGAGAGAGAGAGAGAAAGTATATTGCCAGGTCTGGGATTCAGCTGTGGCCAGCCATGTGGAAGTTCAGTGCCTTAACCACCATATCACTTGCTGGCCCCCAAATATTTTCTCTTAGCAGAGCAACCTGAAATGTTTCAGACTTCAGTGAAGGAGAAGCCACAAGTGGTGAGCACATGTTTTGTCACTCAAAGTCAGATAATTTGTTTTGAAAAACATTTCAGAAAACGAATTCGGCCAAACATCTATACTGTGCAGGTCAGAAGGTTTTTGTTGGGCTACTTTCCCCCTTTGTTCTAGGATGATTTTGAATGGAGCTTAGAGATGGTTATATATCTTTACGTACAATAGTGTGTTCTTTTTCTAGACCAGATGTTCCTGATTAAATATCATGTTTGTTTTTTCTATTTTGTTGTTGAAAGGGAGATAGATTCCTATCAGCATGGGGACTAACACTGGCATTCATTGACATCCACAGAGAGAAAAACACATTGAATATACTAAAATGACCCATGTGCATTGTTGGAGATGATTTATTCTGAGGCAAAAGGATGATACTCAGAAAAGTTTAATTGTTTCTCACCATACTTCCATATGTATTACTCAAATTTTAAATTGTTGCAAAGTACAAATGAGAAATATAACAGCTTGTATACTGTTGAATTACTCTTGCACAGCTTCTGGGTGGGCCTGTGCTCTAGGTTAAGTGTGAGGTGGGGGAGGTGAATCTGTCTTACTTTTTTTTTTGGAGAGGTTTTTGCTATAGGGTGCGTGCACTTGCCAGAAAGACAAAGAGAGACAGAGAGACAGAAAGTGAGAAATCACCCCCAGGGAAGATGGCCACCGCAATCCCTTCTCCTCCGTTCTCCTCTTGGGATCTTGGGCACACACACACACACACACACACACACACACACACTTGCACCCGGCGTGAGTTTAAGCCACCTGGTCTGGGACTCAAACTGCAGTCAACTACATGGGAGTCCAGCAACATAGCCAATACGCTAACTGCTGGTCCCTGTCTTACTTTCTTTGATCCTGGACAGTGTGCTCCTGTCATAGAGGGAACAGACCCGAAGGTGTCTGCTGTTCCAAGGTAGATGATTTCCATGTACTATGGACTCTAAGCACACATGGTAGTAGCCATGTTGTTTCACTGATGGTTCAACTCCAGAAACAGCTGTTGTTTCTAAAGTTGGAAGAGAAATGTGCCTATTTTCAGGGCAATGACACTTGGTACGGTGGCCTTCAGAAGACTCGTCTTAAAGAATTTTCTCCTTATGGAATCACTACGGATCTTAACTTGTACTTAAGTCATGACCCCTCTAGAAATCACCAAATACCATCACTCTTAAGGGTGTGTGGCTTATACTTATGACAGATCTATGGCTGTGTAAGAAGCCTCATATGCTTCCTTGGGTAGACATGAAACTGAATTATTGACTCTCAGTACTGTATAAGGCAAAATACTAAATTTGTACAACACAGTGATGAGAATTTATGGATTATGCATATCTTTATTTCTTACAGGAGAGAATGTGGTCACTAGGCTAATAATACAGGAAAGGAGTCATCTGATGAAAGTTGCACAAGCTCTTCAATCAGAAACTTTTTTTTTTTAAAGAAAATATCTTTGGATAACTTAAAAGATGATAGATGTTGACATGAAAACTCTAGATTCTGAGACAGAGTCTCTGAAGACAACAGCGAGTGCCAAAGAAGGGTAAGAGCTTTCTGGTATTCAGAAATGTATTGATACCATATGTAGAAGGTGCAAAGAAGAAACAAAAGTTGCTACTGATGAGGGCAACTTGGAATGTTGTCTGAGGAAAACCTTACTAGGAGAAAAGAAAGAAAGAGAGAGAGATGAAGGGCAGTAAAAGGTCTTTTAAAAGCATATGGGAAAATATAAAATTAAAGAAAAATTCTGAATAGATGACAACTTTGAGGATATTAAGAACTACCTGGGAAAAGAACTGTGAACCAACAGCTGACCTGACAGGCCTTCACAACTGGTACAAAGTAAAATCCTGTAGAGATCTGGAAGATTGCTAAAGATTCCTGCAAACATGTAATTATACTTAAGAACCTATAAATGAGGAAGATAGAGCCACTAAAGTATCCAACAAAGCTTCACAACCAGAACCAGTAAATTTCTTAACAAAGACATATATACTTGCAGGTAAAAGAGATAGTACATGAGGTCTCAGTACTCAGTAGCTCACATGAACGTTAGACTCACCCCCTGCTCCATTCTCCTGTGGCCAGTACACACATGCGAAACCAGGAGAAGTTAAATGCATTGAATTGTTTAAGGAAGCTCTAAAATAGAGACCAGGTCTGCAGAAAATAGAATTGGAGGCAAGGGTTAGCCATGAACACACCTAAAAAATGCCCAAGTGCTAGAAGACTTGGCTGACATCAAAGAGCTCTTTCAAACATCAGTTCATTTTGAGAACTAAAAATGCTGCTCATCACTTTAAGAGCGCAATGCAAATAAAACAGCAAGGCATAAATGTCAATAATTTTTACAAGATTGTTTAGTGCCCCCAATATAAAATCCACTGGAACCCTGGTGGGCACAGAGACCATATAAAAACACCAAGTGAAAGCAACAAACAATCCCCAAATAAAGGAAAAGGGGAAGTTTCACTGAGACCATGAAATATCTGCACATTGTTGCATAGAAATCCAATATGTGAAAGACATGACAGTCATCAACCTGAAAACACACACACACACACACACACACACACACACAAAAGGGACACTTGACCACTCCCAGGAGGAGGATGGAAGCTGTGTCACAGTCATTGCGTGTGACCTTACACAGATGTAGTCCATGTTGTAGAAAATGTGCATGGGACTTGGTTTGAAAGTTGGACTCTTTCTTAAAAGGGTCTGCCTTAAACACAGCCAATAAATAATAGGTCATGGAAATGAATCCTTTTGGGATTTCTTGGGAGAATGATTACTGGAATAATATTTATTGAAACTGGATGTCTTCTGATTTCCTTAGAAAGTACCTCTGCACCAAGGAAGCAGAGCAAACCCCAATAAGGAACCAGACATTAAAATATAAAGAAAAGAACAATGAGAATATCAACCATTTGTGTGTTTAAGATGTCAAGGAATCAAAATCTATCCTAGGGCAAATGTTAGAGAGTGGAAACAAATGTTCCTAAAACTCAAAGTAAGTAACTAAGTGGCTATGTAATTTTTTCCTTTATTTTATTTATTTTTTCTTTTTTTGGCCATAGGGCACATGCATTCATGGGAGAGAGAGAGAAGGAAAGTGAGAAATTACCCTTCAGATTGCGATGCCTTCTTCATTCTCCTCTTGGGATTTTGGATGTACATTCAGATGCAAAATCACCCTGGTGTTATTTTCAAGCCACTGGGGTTGGGACTCAAATCGTGATCAGCCATGTGGAAGTCCAGCACCTTAACCACTATACCACTTCCTGGCCCTTTGTAATTTTTGATTTGCATAGACTGTTTTGATATAGTTTTGCCCCATGTTACAGAAGCATTAAAACACAGCAGAAGCACATTGCCAGCTCCCAGTTTTACTAGTATAAGAATCATTCATCTAAGCCATTTATTTTGCCTGTGTAGTGACTTCTATCTCTTTCTGTTTTGGGAATTCCACATCAAAGAGTAAATCATATTACAAAGTCGTAGTTCAAGTAGAACTAGGACATTATCTAGTCAGTAATTTCCATTATCTTCATTTCCCAGATGTAACCAAAATGTTCAAGACAGAGGAAAACTTCTACCCACCCCTTCTGAGTGTTTTGGTTGGTTTACTGCCCCCCTCCCCCACCCTATGATGTTTTGCATTAGGATCTCTTAGATAGTGTAATTAATTTCCTTACTAGCAAGATTGTATTATTCCTCTACAGATAGTTCCGATCAAGTAGAAATGAACCCGAGAGGCTGTGTGGCCCAGGAGCACCTGAAGAAAAGGCTCAGCCTCTTGAAGCCCTAGCTAGTTGCAAGGTCATATAAATTCCAGAGGAGGTGAGGATGCAACAGTGACTCTAACAACATTCGGCAGGGTGCTGAGGACTCTTAAAATAAATCCACTCGGAGAAGGGGGGACACCAGAGGATGATTAAATATCCAAACCAAAGCAACATGTGCTCCATGAACGCTGGAATTTATATGACCATGAACGCTGAAAAGAGTGAAAGCAGAATGAGGAGCAAGAAGCATTTTGCTGCCAGTAAGGGCAAACCTTCAGATGCAAGGACAGACAGAAACAGTAAAGAAAAGTTACACTCGGTCACTCAAAAATCAGAGATGGAATATGTTCTACAATCATTCCATGTCTTCTTGCATGGGCATCCCCATTTTGTAGGAAACATGTATGTAACCTGAATTGATACAGTAAGTGCAGGTCATGGTCCAGAATCCTTTGGGCACTGACAGAGTAATGACTAGATTACTTTGGGAAAGGAACTGCTGTAAACTATTTGTACACATTTGAAGGAGAGTTTCTCAGAAAATGAATGAGTTCTGCTCATCTTCACATGAGGAAGAGATTGTCCCCTGGGGGGTGGGCATTTCAGGAAGATGTGGTTCCAGACACTATCATTAGGAGCACTATGTAGAAATAAGATGAGTGTCTGGCTTTGACAATGGGATACACACAGAGTGCGTATCCCAGGAAAAAACATCCCTCCTCCTGCAAATCTTCAGTAAGCAAGACATTTCTTTCATCACTGCAGTGATTGTTAAAGAATTTGGATTTCATTGACTGTCTGTAGAATTGGGACTTTTCTTCTTCTTTTTTTAATAACGTGAACTGTTACAAACTTATATCCAGACACATTTCCTGATGGAAATTTACCCTAAATTGCTTATTTTAGAGTTTATGAGTGGAGAGGATCATTTCTCCATAGGAACAAACTGGCAAGGGATGACATTGTATCCAACGACTTAAGTGACTGACAGAAAATCAAACAATGTAAAAGTTTTATGTTCATTTTTCCTGAGTTGTCTTTTGATTGATGTTGCCTACTGAGATTTGCTTTAATCATCACTAAAATTGTGTGGATGTCTGCTGATTTCCTTAGGAAGTACCCTGTACTCCAGCTGACCAAGAGTACAGACATTAAAACAGAAAAATGGCAGCAACAGAAAATAAAACAATTATGAGTTTGAGATGCTAAAAAATCAAAATCTATCTCGGGAGAAACGCTGGAGACTAAAAAAGCAAAAAATCTTCCTGAAGTCCTAAGAAGGTAAGTAATTGACTATGTCATTTCTTTCTGAAAATAGAATGTTTTGATACAGATACATCAAAACAGGAAGAACTGGGAATTTATCTAGTTATTGTTCTGTGACTGCTATGACACCCCTCATGCTATGATTTCAGGTAGATGTTTTCATTCTCTCTTGGATTCAATTCAACTTATTAAAAGTGAGAGGTCTTCCTGTGTGCATTTCAATGGATTGCTTTGAAAGCTAGAATGAATGCAAGTTGTAGGTGTCCCTGAGAGAAATAATACTCTAGAAGAATTCCTAATCAGTAGGGAGAGTGTGTGTGCTTTCACCCTCCTCAATCAAAAATATTTAAGCAAACATGTGGTGCTAAAATCATGTCACATTTAACAGCTCATTAGTCTACTATCATTTGAATCAATCCATACTACCTGTGACAATTCATTAATATTCCTCTAGGAGGTATGAAGTAGGCGTTTTTCTAAAAGATAGGTAGGGTCTGGCTTAATGATCTAGCGGTAATGGGGAAGCTGAGTCCCACAGGGTGAAAGCAGTTCACATACTGGGCCTGTTTGCATTGGGCATGCATGGTGTGAAGGCCTAAGTTCTATGTGGTGGAGTATTGAAGGAAGGAGATTGTAGGGTGACCAGACTCTGGAGGGTGCTCTTTTCTCTCTCTCTCTGTTTCTTTTTCTCTGTCTCTCTAACTCCCACTCTCACATGTGCATATGAGTAAAGGAAAAAAAGAATTGAAGAAGACAGGCTGAATGTTTCCATCTTTTCACCGTCTATAAATATCCTTTACATAAAGTTAAATGCTGTCTACACCAGAGCTGTGGCCACTGCTCTAACCAGATGTGTGAATTTGCTGCTTATAGATGTTTGCGTAGATGTGGTCATAAAAAAAAAAAAGGAGATTGATTTACTGTGTGTGAAGACAGTGGTAATAACACTGATTGAAGGTACATGCAGGACCTCATTTAGTGTTCCTGTCACCCTTAGCATTCTGATGGAACAGCTACAGAGTGAGTGAAGTGACATCCTGCCCCTGCTTTATGGTCAGCAAAGACAGAACAATGGATTCCATCCTAGTCAGTGTGTCAGTGGAGAGAGTATTCTTTTATTAGCTTGCAGATTTACTGTTCTAGTTACACCTGTAGGCAGATTTCAGACTTGACTATCATCTGACAGAGAATATGGTTAATCATCATTTGACCTTTCCTTGATGTTGCAGCCATTACCAGGAACATTTGAGCTGCACTGTCAACTGGCAAGTTCAGCCTATAGTCAGTATTAACTTATTTATCACTGGCACTCTAACTAAGTGCAGACTTTTAAAATTTTTGCGTTTTGTTTCTCTAACTCTTCTTTCCTCCACTGTCAATGATCACTTCATGAAGTGACTTCGAAAGTGTGCTGAACATCACACTTAGCAGCCTTTTCTGACTGGAGCATTTCTTCAAGGTCTTCATTAAATATTAAGTACAAAAACAACTCAGAACACACCTAAAGATTTGGGCTATCCATTCTGAAAGATCAAATTTTGTTTCTTGAGATACTGGATAAATGAGCCTGCCAAATTAAGTAATTCCTAAGTATATTATACGTATCAGATTTCAAGTAGAATAATGAACCTGAAACATTTTGCTACAGGAAGGGCTTGGTGCCTTTAAATTGAAAAAAAGCACTCACTACAGGCACCTAGCTCCTCAGAAGACACTGGCCTGCAGAGAAGCATTTTTCTGGTGGTCTTCAGTCATACTCAAACGGCGTAAGTGAGGATCCTTTTCAGTGAGCTAGTTATAGAGGACCCAAAAAATTGAATGTCAATTGCATACTTGAATTCAATTTTGTTTTATAGTATTTTGAAATTTTGGAGTGTGTACTTTTGTGATAAAACTAGTTTTGTATTAGAAATAATTTAAAATAGATTAGTACCACTTCTTTTTTTTTTGGAGAGGTTTTCGCTATAGGGCGTGTGTGCTCGCCAGACAGACAGACAGAGACATAGAGACAGAAAACGAGAAATCACCCTCCAGGGGGGATGGTCATGCTGCAATCCCTTCTCCTCCATTCTCCTCTCAGGATCTTGGGCACGCACGCACATGCACCCGGCGTGAGTTTTAAGCCACCGAGTCCAGGATGTGAACCACGGTCGACTATGTGGGAGTCCAGTGAAATAGCCATTACACTAACTGCTGGTTCCCAACTAGTACCACTTCTGTGAAAACATACAGCATTTTACTTAAAGAAAATAGAGTAAAAGCAGTTTTAAGAAAATATGAAGAAGATATATATGAAAATTCACTTGGGTTTTATGCAGATTGATTACAAAAATGGTTTTGAAGAAGTATTTTTTTTCCATGTAAAGTAAGAACAGGGACCAGCAGGTGGCAACATGGCTATGTCGCTGGACTCCCATGTAGTCAACTGCAGTTCGAGTCCTGAACCCACTGGCTTAAACTCATGCCAGGTGCGTGTGCATGTGTGCCCAAGATCCTGAGAGGAGAATGGAGGAGAAGGGAGTGTGGCATGGCCATTCCCCCCTCCCCCGGGGGGTGATTTCTCTCTTTCTGTCTCTCTGTCTCTGTGTGTCTGGCGAGAGCACGTGCCCTATAGCAAAAACCTCTCCAAAAAAAAAAAAAAAAAAAAAAATTCATCTGGAAGTCAGCTGGTCAGCCCTCGTATCGCAGCACCAGAGCTCCCTGGATGGAAGGCCCAGAAAGGTCAAAATCCACGTCGCAGCTCAGGTTGATGTGCTCCCGCTTATAGCCTGTCTTGATTTTAGCATCCCCTGCCCCCCATGTTAGGTGAGAAGGAAAAGTCAAAGGTCAGCTTCAGTCCACGCGCAAGCTGGTCTTCCAGGGTGATCTCGGTGCCTAGCGTGTGGTTAGTGTTCCACTTCTCCATAAACGTCAGGCTGTATTCGGGCCATCGGTACTTGGTTTCCAGACTGCCCGTCACTTTGGTGGTCTCAGTGTTGACTGAGCCTGAGCTGGTAAATTCCAATCCATTCTCAGACTTTGTTTTCAAATCGAGTTTTATTAGGCCAAATCCGTAACCCTCGGTGAAGACATCCCTGGTAGGCTTGCCCAGATTGACGTACGTGGGAGGCACAGCCATCTTCTGCTCGGAGATGGTGGCAGCCGGCTCCGCAGCTACAGCAGGGGCTGCAGTGCAGAGGAACAGAGAGTGAGCTACTGGCTAACTGATTTGCCTCTCCTTTTTAATTACTGTTTTTGATGTTTTTTTTTTTTTTTTTTTTTTTTAATTGATAGAGGGCATGCTGGCTCAGAGAGAGGAAAAAGAGAGTGAAAACACCTCCTGATAGAGTATGGTCATACCACAATCTTTTTTCCTCCATCCTCACCCCCCCCCCAGATTTTGGGCACACATTCACATGTACCCAGAGTATTAAGCTACTTGTGGTAGAGATTTGAACTGCTGTCAGCCATGTGAGATCTAGCTCCCTTAATTGCTGCAATGTAGATGGCCATATTTGTATATATTTTTTGGGGGGGGGAGAGGTTTTCGCTATAGGGCACATGCGCTCGCCAGACAGACAGAGAGAGACATAGAGACAGAAAGTGAGAAATCATCCCCCAGGGGGGATGGTCATGCTGCAATCCCTTCTCCTCCATTCTCCTCTCGGGATCTTGGGCACGCACGCATATGCGCGCGGCGTGAGTTTTACGCCACCGGGTCTGGGACACGAACAGTGGTCGACTACGTGGGAGTCCAGCGACACTGCCATTACGCTAACTGCTGGTTCCCCTGTATTTTTTTTTTTTAATTCAGTATTTTATCTTTTGCCAGAAAAGTTTACATTCTATTATTAAGCTAATTCAAAATACAACCTTCTATAAAACAAACAAAACAAAGACAATTTCCAAAGAAATACACATATCTTTACTAATTTAAATATGCTACCCACTATGAGATAGTAAATTCACTTATTTGATGAATACTAAATCATTTCCATCTCCTAATCTAAATATTGCTTTCAAGAAGGACTATCAGTTAATACTAACTAAATGTGACTAAGACTTGAAGTGTGGCCTCTAAACAGGCCAGTGTGTCCTGCTGAGTAATTGGAGAATGGAGGCTCACCCATTTGGACATTTTAATTAACATTAGAAAAGCACAAAACCAAAAATGATCTTGCCTTTTTTTTTTTTTAAATATATACTATTTATTTATTTATTCTTTGGAGAGTTTTTTTTTTTTTTTTCTTTTTTCTATAGGGCACGTGTGCTTACCAGAAAGACAGAAAGTGAGAAATCACCCCCTAGAAGGAATGAACACACCGCAGTCCCTTCTCCTCCATTCTCCTCTCAGGATCTTGGGCACGCACGTGAGTTTAAGCTACCAGGTCCGGGACTGGAACCACAGTCGACTACATGGGAGTCCAGCGACATAGCCATTATGCCAAATGCTGGTCCCCCAGGGTATCTGTATTCTTACTTAACATGTGTGTGCATGCTGGGTGGTTATGGCAAGTTGTTGGTGTGTGTCTGTCTTGGGTGGTGTGTGGCATGTTAGGTCACATGTGTGCTGAGATCTTGGACATTTATGAACATAAACTTAGAAGGAAGATGGATAATGTGCCAGATCAAAGCAGGGACTTACAAAGCGAAGGGAATCAGCACTAAGAAAGAGACTTGCCACAGGGTGGCACTCTTGTATCTCATTTTAAAGGGTTGGGAGGCTCTGTTCAAGTTACCATGGACTTTCACTGGGCTTTTGTTAATTTGCCTGCAAAATAAACAAGAAAATATCTAAAATAAGACACAGGTCCACCTTAAGTGGTGCAGTCTCTGGGTACTAGACTGCAGGGCTGATAGCCACATGCAAATTGTGGATTCGGATCCCTTGGTTGACCTTAAAACACACAGAGTACACATATGGACACCCACGATCCTGAGGAGCTAGAGGGCTGGGCAGGGATCGTAGCATTATAAGATCTTCCTAAGAGTTCTTTCTCTCTCTCTTGTGCACACTCATGCATTATCAT